TGGTTACCTCTAGTCACCTTACTTACACTGATGTTGACTTTTGTAACCTCTAGTTTCTAACAAAGATGTTGACTTTGGTTACATCGTGTCACCTGACACAAATATTAACGTTGGTTACATTTGGTCACCTGACACAGATATTAACTTTCGTTACCTCTGGTCATCTTACTTACACTGATGTTGACTTTAGTTACCTCTAGTTTCTAACAAAGATTTTGACTTTAGTTACCTCTGGTCACCTTACACAGATATTTACTTTGATGACCTCTGGTAATCTTCCACAGATATCCTGATAATGTGCTGGTTTTTTAAAATATGCTGATTTTACACACCTCTGTCCTGGTTCTGTTCTTTTTTGTAAAAAGGGGCAAATATTGAAGATCACTGATACAGAAATAATTGTAAATTTGGCGAAATTTGTTTCTATTTATCGGCGCAAATTAAACCTTCGGAAAAATTAAGAATGGCGCAATTGATACCTTTTCGAAACTGTAATTGCCGCAAATTGATTCTGGTCGACATTTTATGAACATAACAGTGTAACCTGGTTAAGCATTGGTGATGAGGGATAGCCAAGTTAACGATAAACTGGGGGTAAACAAAGTCAATATCTGTGTTTAAAAAGTCAATAAATGCGTGTATATGGTAACCAGAGGTAACGTTGTTAGTATCAGTGTTAGGTGACCAGAAGTAACCGTTGTTAATATCCGTGTATGGTGATCATAGGTAACCAAAGTAAATATTTGTGTAAGGAGATCAGAAGTTACAAAGTCAATATCTGCATGTGTACGGTGGTCAGAGGTAACAGAAGTCAATATATGTGTAACGTGACCAGAGGTAACAAAAATCAATCTCTGCGTAAGGTGACAAGAGGTGACAAAATTCGATCTATTTATGACGACAGGGGTAAGCATTTGAAGTCATATCTATGAAAGGATGACCAGAGGTTTCCAAAGTCAAAATATCTATGTGTGAAGTGACCAGAGGTAACCAAAATCAACTTCTTTGTAAGGTGACCAGAGTTAAGAAGAGTGAATATCTGCATGTGTAGGGTGACCACAGGTAACCAAAGCTAATACATCTGCACGTGTGAGGTGACCACAGGTAACCAAAGTCCATATCTTTGCCAGGTGACCAGAGGTAACCAAATCCAATATCTGGAAGTATATGGTGATGATAGGTTACCAGAGTAAACCAAAGTCACTATCTGTGTAAGGTGCCAAAGGGAGATATGTGTATAGGATGAACAAATGTAACGGAATTCTATCTATGTAGGATACTAGGTGGAATCATTTGAAAGCATATTTCTGGAAGGGTGACAAGAGGTCACTTCAAACATTCAGGGGCATTTCTTAAACAAGTAACCTTCAAAATTACATTTACGTACAAATTATGTTAAAAACGATGCTATTTTAAATATTACTTATATAAGTAACTTTTGCAAATATTATTTTTATAGGTGTCTATTAATACAGATTATACTAGCTTTAACAAATTTTCACAGACATCTGGTTATTTTTCCCATGAAGTATAAAAATTATTTCTCCTGAAACACTAATTGAATATCTGACGCACTTATGTTTCATATTGACGCTTCTGGGTCAAATATTGGTCTATTGGGATTATTAAATATCATTTTCCTTGAATATCTTAAAGGCAGACAGATATAAATAGATGGAAACTAGTGATTTCAGTAAGACTTAAAGTTGTTTGTATTTTGTATTAAAAACCAATTACATGTGTTCCTTAAATAATTGTAATTACTATTTTTTCATGTATAAAATAACTTATACAAGTAACATTTTTGTCATTATTTTTAGAGTAACATTTTATCTCCATACTCATCTCAAATTTAATAAATACTTAATCTTATGTAATAAAATGATGTAAAAGTTCATAATGCTACATTTGAGTCGATGCTTCTGTTAAGATTTAAAATAACTTTATTGAGTAATTTGATAATTTAAAAAGATAAAAATTACCTATATAAGTAACTAAAAAATGACTTGTTTAAGTAACGCCCCTGACTGATGAACGACCAAACAATATATTTATGCAATGTCTGTCTGTCCATCTATCTTTGTCCAACAAACATTTACATTACTGTTTTCCCAAAAAATAATGAACAGGATGAGTTCATATTTGGTGAGTTGTTTGATATTGATGAACTGTGATGTGTGAGTATTTTTCTTATCTGTCATATACCTGTTTCCTGTTTGCTTATATATTTCAGTATCATGTGAGTATGTTGAATGAACACAAATTTTCCATGACTTCTATCGGTAGTGCTGCTGTACAGAATGACTTCATACTTGGTTAGCGGCTTAACCATGATGAGTTGTGTCTGCAATTTTGGTTTTGTCAAAATCTGTATATACTTTTTATTTCGGATACTTTGAATTTGGAATTGTCATGTGCTTAGAAAAACATCTGATTTATTCTTGTTTTATATAGAATGAATCACTTTGTATCTATTAAACTTATGATTTGTAATATTAAAAAGCTGAAAACTCATATTTTAAAGTACAGAAAATTTTATATAAAATTAATATGATATAGATATCAACCAAAAACATCTTCTAAAAACATTTTGAAAACAGTTTGCAGGCACTTAGAAAATATCCCAAAAATAATTTTATGACATTTTTTGATATTCATAATGTTTTTTTAACGTTTACAAAATATTTTAAGAACATATTTGTGAAAGGATTATCAGAATGTTTTATATGCCATTGCTTTTTACATTATTGTGATATTTCGTGATACTATTTTAATTATATTGTGCCAATATTTTAGGAAATATATTTAAAAATGTTTTTGCGATATTTTTTCCGCCATACACTCAGTCTATTGTTTCCAAAAATAGTACTGTGAAAGTACTTTTATTCGTGGGCATCAATTTTTGTGGCTTGAGCAAAAGTTACAATCGAGTGAAGAATTTGAAGCCATCAGAAACTTGAAAATAGTCAAGTGTTGTTTTGTAATGACTAGTATGTTTGTTTAAGCTGGTTTAAAGAGAATTAGTGATAGCTATCTCCTTATAATTTCTTTTTTCCATATTCACACATAATTTCAAAGTAGTATACATTAAGCTGCATTTTTTTCATATTTGGTTATATAGTGCCTTTTATAGCCTACTATACGATATGGGTTTTGGTCATTTTCGAAGGTCGTTCAATGTTCATATTGGCAATTATACAACATGTCGTTAATTTCATATTTAAATGCGTTTAAAAATTATGTGAAATGCTTATTGAAGTTATATTGTATAAAAAAACAAGTAGTATCTTTAAAAAAAGATATCTGACGCATTCAAACGTGAGCACAGAGTTAAAAACAAACCATGAATCTTTATCAGGTTTTTTTATTATAGTTAAAACATTGCACACAATTTGTCGGGTAAAGCCTGGCGATTCTAAATTTTGAGTATATGCGCTTTTCTCTAAAGAATTGAAATATATACTGTACTCAACTAAATGTATATATAAGTATTCTTTCAGAGATAAAGAAGTACCTAGTTGTGAAATAGACATGAACATAAGATATTATTAGGTTCCAATCTGTAATGAATAACAAATTTGAAACAGTTTAGAACCATAGGGAAAGGTCAATTATAACAATATGTCAAGCACAAACTTAACAATTGTAGAGACATAACCTATTTTTGGTGTGTATATCAGGGACAGACGGACGTTAAAGGGAAATGATCTAGTTACATCTTTTGACAAGTAATTAAATTTGCGATATATGAATTTTGACATTCTTTATTTCAAGTATAATATTTTGTACTCTTTGAGATTATTATTGCGCCTTGGAAGTTTTAGACTGCACTTGCAATCACACAAAGTCAATAAAATATATATGTATAGCACTCGAGCTATTAATAGCCTAATTGATCTGCATTAGCTTCAATGGTAAATCTAATATTAATGATTCTGTCAGTGAAATTTACCTACTCATGTATATCAAAATCCCAACGATTTGACAGTGGTGATAATGACACCTTCTTTACTTAAATTTATTTTATTGATCCAGATAATTTCATTTTAAGTTTGAATTTATCATGATCATGTCCGTAATGTTTTCCTTCAATTGCAGCATATATCGTTTGGTGGATTTGTTCAATTCCAAAATATTGTCCAATCAGAGTAACGATTGTTGACATGAATGCCAGTACAATAGTAAAGCGTCCTAGCTTACGTCACTTATATATATATACAGCAAGTTTATTGTTATCTGTTTGGCATTAAATTAATATGTAAGATCCATTTTTTACATCTGGTGATCAATTTATTTGGCAATCGCCAATGGCAGTCAGCAGGGTTTAAGAACATCAGTTGTTCGACCTGTTAGTCAAATGCGTTTTGTTAAAATATACTTTTTCACTTTTTTTGGTCTTTTGGAAAATGTTGTTTGTGCTGTATTTAGATCCCTCTACCAAGAAATTTGTTTTGCATGCACATGTATAAAAATTACGGTTTTTATCCAACGCAATCATAGGTTTGAACGTTGTTTTCAATTTAGACTTGTTTATATTTTTTCGTTTGGGCTTGTATTATATTTGCCTTCGGGTTTATATGATCCGTTCATCCTATTTTGACTCTTTCAAAATTCAAGAGTCTATCCTAAATTGAGGTAAATTATATGGCCTTCCAAATACCGTTTCGATTCCTATCATCACTGAAGATACATTAATTGTCGAAATCCGGATATGGTGTCCAAATTTTGCACCTCAAGTTTGCGGTATACCATCTTTTCCGCAAGCTTATTGTTTTCTGTTTGGTAATAAATTAATAATAAGATCTATTTTGTTACATCTTGTGATCCGTTTATTTGGCAATCGCCAATGGCACTCAGCAGGGTTTAAGAACATCAGTTGTTCGACCTGCTAGTCAAATGCGTTTTGTTAAAATATACATTTTCACTCATTTGGTCTGATATATATATATATGTGTCAGTTATTTGCTACTTTATAACTTTGTTCTTTCTTCCTGTTGCAGTCAAAATAAGATCGGCTGGTATTGGTTCTGCTGCATCTGGTACAAACTCAGCGGTAATCTTTCCCGCAATTAACCAATCTGTTACTACGACAAGACCTGCTACAGAAGGGAAACATCACAATAATATCGAAAATAAATTGAATATCGGGTCAAGTGCACTTGGGAAAAATCCTGTAAACTTTATAGGTAAAAATATATAATATATGTGATTTCATTGACCAAACATTCGAATTCCTACCAAATGCATATTACAGAGATTTCTTAAGATATCTTTTCTATAGTTTGTCCTCTTCTCGTCTTTCCCTTTTTGTAATAGTTCCTCTTAGTTATGCATTTTTTTTACTTTTTGTTATACATTAAAGTAATAACCTTCTGTTATGTCCAATTATTATACATCTGTCCTTTTTAATTTCATCAAATTTTTCGAAGGCCGTATACTTCTCTTTAGACATGTAAGACGGAATATACGTAAAATTCATAATCAAAACATCATTACATTCTAACTGAATATAACTTGTTAAAGTCATATGAATTTTTTTTTACTTTCAAAGAAGTGACCATGAACTTTTTTTTAAAAGAAAATCCTTTCTGTTATAAAAATCTTCATAAATGTACCAATATGAATTATTGCCTTCGCAGACACTAATTCGCTGATATTTTCCCGTATGCGGTGACCTTGACTACGAGACCTCTCGTTATAACTTCGGCCACCGCACAGCGCAAGCGCGAGGGGAAAACCGTGATGAAAAAATGTAAAGAAACGTGCTCTGGAAGGTAAATAGTAATAACAGATTCTTAAAGAACATTTAATACAACAAATCATTTAACAACTGTTAAGGAACTTTATTTAACAAATGGGAACGCATGGAAAATATAAAAAAGACAGATGTCATGGCTCTTTCAATTCACTTATTTGTCACGTGTTCCACATGCTCTGTTTTTATTGTTTATCAATGTCACGATCCGGTAAACATCGGCTAAAAAACTCGAAAGTTAATTAGCTTGCGATCAATAAGCACTAAATGAAATATCATTTGTCGATCATACATTATAGATTCGTAGTAAATATAAAAAAAACGTGTATACAAGACTTAGTTTTACATATGCATGCATTGGTTCAATAATTCAGATATTAAACTTTAAAATTTCAAGAAACTCGTTTCATGTGATTTTAAAAAAAAGGAAGAAGAACAAACGCAACTTTCATAATTGACAATTCGAAGAGAACGCGACAAAATCACAAAATCATGGCAAAAAAAATGAGAACGCGACAAAATCACAAAATCATGGCAAAAAAAATGAAAACGCGGAAAAAACAAAACAACAGTCTACAAAACACTACACTGAAAACCAAAGACTGAGCAACACGAACCCAACCAAAATCATGCAGATCATCAACAACAGAAAACAATTATATATATATATATATATAAATATATGTGTGTGATTTGGCGGCATGGTAATTAGCATTATCATCCTTTACGACAGATAAAATAGCTGATCTGAAAGGTACACCATCTACTTGCCACTATACATCATGTACTGTGTTACAACCCTAGATAAAGCCGATGAGGAAAGGCATTACATCGACCACCGAAAGCTATATTTTTTTTATGTAGCCTAGGTGGTCGAGTGGTCTAGGGCGCTGGACACGGTGCAAGCGGTTTTGCCACGATGTCACAGAAGCAAGGGTTCGAACCCCACTGAGGGAAGAATGTTTATTTTGTGTTACAGATCTAACATTGTTGGGCTAAATTTGAGACGAATTATATTGTTAAAATTATTGACACTGACGAAGGCTATTTGTTAATCCGAAATATTTGTCAACACGATTTTATAACATCATCTTCGTATATTTTACATCTTCTATTAGTACCGTTGTGCAAATCTTTAGACTTATATATTGTTTTCCTTATCTGCGCAGTATCGCCTATTCTAGACGACCCGTTACATATTAAATTTTCTGGTTGGTCCTTTTTATAGACTTCTATATAAATATATATATATTTGTCTAGCGAGTTTCAGAAACACGTTATAACAATTTACATATAGAGGACTATAGTCGTTATCATAATGATTTATTACGTGAATTCCAGATTTTGGTTATGGCAATAAAAGACCTGACTCTAAAGGTATGTTTTGAATGTTATCGTTTGACTAACTAAGGGAATCGAAGACTTGGTTGCATGTTCTATGTTTCAGAGACACCAATTAACAAATGCTTCGGGTTTTTGTTGAACTTTTTTATATGGACAGGTGTAAAAATGATTTCTAAAGATGCATGAAAGGCCTTTAATACGACTGGCCGGGACCGTCGTCCCATAGTCACAGCCAGTCATGAAATATGTCGTTAGACGTCAGAACAATATCGGTCTAAGTATGATCCAACTTTTCAACGACCATACATTTAGGTTTTATTAATTTTTAGTAAAACAGGACCAAGTTTAATGTCCTAATCTTTCATTAGCTCATAACACAATGTAACATTCGTCAGAAACAAAGTACATAAGTTTGCATAAAATATAAAATTGAGAATGGAAATGGGGAATGTGCCAAAGAGACAACAACCCGACCATGCAGCAGACAACAGCCGAAGGCCACCAATGGGTCTTCAATGCAGCGAGAAACTCCCGCACCCGGAGGCGTCCTTCAGCTGGCCCCTAAACAAATATGTATACTAGTTCAGTGATAATGGACGTCATACTAAACTCCAAATTATACAAAAGAAACTAAAATTAAAAATGATACAAGACTAACAAAGGCCAGAGGCTCCTGACTTGGGACAGGCGCAAAAATGCGGCGGGGTTAAACATGTTTTTTGAGATCTCAACCCTCCCCCTATATCTCTAGCCAATGTACAAAAACAAACGTACAACAGTACGCACAGTAAAACTCAGTTTAAGAGAAGTCCGAGTCCGATGTCATAATAGGAAAGATATCTGTTTAAATTGGCAAGTAGATGTAAATCAATATACTCTTGAAATAAATGAAATATTGGTGGTATTGAATTAGATACTTCTTACGATTTCTTATGCTTTCATTTATTTATAAACTCCTCTATGAAAAAATACCATTAAATAATCAGACTTCTACCCATTTTTTATACAGAAATGTTGTTTATCTATATCAGATATTGCCATAATCTGTTCACTTACTACATATGAGGCAAAGATTACAAATAATTCCTCTAAGCAAGTTAAATAAAACTTTGTGTTTTTCTTTTATGCTAGATGGTGATTGCAGATACTTTGATAATGAGAATATTACTGCAACAAATTTCGTCACATTTAATACTGGCCTCGGAACATCAGTGCGCTTTTATGAACAACGAAAGAACCTAATTGTCGAAGCTTTACTAAAGTCTGAAGCAGATGTTATGTGTTTAAATGAAGTATGTTGAAACGTTGTGCTGAAAATTAAAATATCTTAAGTTATACATACATTGTATTTAAGACCTAAACTGATTTTTGTTTAAATTTTTAAGTGAACGGTTAAAAATAAAAAGTTCCTTTCCACAATAATTTATTAGTATAGTCTTTACAATGAAAAGGAAAAGAATATGAAACGGGATGGTTACATATAATTGTGTGTTCATAGTCCAGTAGCAAATATGCATATACATCTTCATAGGTCAACTGTCAGCTCCAAAATTTTTCTTTATCATTATTAAATTAGACATTTTTTAAATTCAGGTATGGTATGTTGATGATTTGATTATGTTACAACAAGCCTTACAGAGTAAGTTTCCTCACTCATTCAGCACAGTTCACAATGACACTTCCATCATAATGGACCAACAAACATTAACTAAGCCTCCGTGCTTTTCTATAATTTTTCAAACAGTTTTTAAATGTTTTTTGACTCAATGTAATACATTCAGTAATAGGAGAGAACAAGCCGGGTGTTTGTTGCTTACTTGCAGTGCAGCTCGTTTGCTTTCTGAAGAATGTTTAACATGTGTTCTATTAAGCAGCACAAACACTACTGATGTAATTGCAAAGTGTGTCAATCCACCTCCATCTAGACAATTCAATGCAATGAATCTACCTGGACTTGTATTATTCAGCAAACTGCCATTGACTCAAAGAAAAATTCAGAACCTGATACCTGGTGTTAAACGACTTGTTCCTAGATGGGTGCTTTCGGCGGAGGTATATATTTGTTATACCTATGATAGCGCAGTGCAATCTATGGATTACGTTTTCGTTCCGTACGTCCTTCCTGTCAGGATTTCTGTTATGTTAAGAATATATGTTTTCTTTCAAATTTGCTTTCAAAAAATTTAAAACGAAATTAAGTTTTCGTGAATAAAAAGGCGTCAATAAGATGAAAAGCCAAACGACACGAATAACTTGGACTTTGAGGTATCATCTTACAGTCTTCAACAATAAAAAGATTACTTTACAATATGCAAGGCTCTCAATCGTTTCTATTCTAAAAATAATGGGGAAAAAATCAAACAGCAACTTCATAAGTTCTGCCATCAACATTTCAGTGCACCTGTCATGTATTTCTGTAATACACTAATCGAGATGTAATACACTAATCGAGATGCTAAGAACACCATACGTATATTTTGTCTATGTTCATTGCCAACGACAATTAATAGTGTCTGGATCATTAATTTTGATTTATCTACCTTGTACTAAAACGAAATGTAATAAAGCCGAGTGATACAAATGCTTATAAATCCAAAAATATCGATGTTTTTATTTTTTTAATTATGAGCATGCACATATAAAATATATGTATTTCTAGGTTGAAAAAGTGGGCAAAGTTGCTTGTACTCATTTTACAGCAGGACTTTCGATTACCTACGTTGATCGTAAGTTAACATGAACGATGAAATATGTGTTTTATTATAGAAACTAATTGCTGAGCATCATAATTCTACGAAAAACCGAGAGTTTTTACTAATTCATCCTGTGTGAAACGATCTCATTTTCCCAAAAAAACGCATGTCAAGACTCGTGTAATAATCTAATAGCCAACAATTTACGCCATTTAATTAACAATGAAATTGTGCTTTAATGCAAGTGCCAGTCTTTGTAAAAATCAGGCAATTTTGAAAAAAATCAAAACTTGACCGAAAAAAACCCACCGACCTAACCATCATATTTTGAAGTTTCCCTCATTCTGAATTAGAAATGGTAGGTCTTTCATTTGTGCGTGCCTGTTAATACAAGAAATCTCTTAGATAACTTTTGGTTAGAATGATAGCAAATTAAGGAGTTAGCTCCTCTTAATTGTTAATTTCTTGTGCATTTCAACCAAATTATATCTTGAATTACCAGAACAGGAAAAGGAAACGATGTACATTCGTGCACCATTATACATTTTGAACATAAATTAATGTCAACTTGAGTGGGTTTTTGTTTGTCATGTTTTCACCACTGCCTGATTCTTAGAGAATATTTTATCCTTTCTGTTTTTATAATATCATACAACATACCCCTTAATTTTTTATTACAAAAATTTAAGATGTAATATTTTCTATATATTGCTTAATATATATATATACATTACATGGTACGAGGGATATACGTCAATCAGACAGATATCCAACGACACAAAAAAAGAAGATATTTAAATCGATTCAATAACCATTCTATAGTATAAATAATGGATGATTTAGTATATTTGAACACTGTTCTTATTCTTAAATTGAAAATCCGTATAATAAGAAGAACAATTTCATATCCCCACTCTAGGAGTTGGGGCTAAATTGCATCTACTTTGTCCGTCCATCTTTCCGTCCGTCCGTCCGTTCGCTCAACACATATTTCTGTCACCCTTTTCTTAGATACTAATGAACAAAATAATTCATATTCGGTCAGCAGCTTGATAGTAATGAGTTGTAACGTGTTAGCAATTTTCGGACCTATGAAACAACTTCTTCCTATGCTTTGAACTTTTCGAAAGGTTGAACAAACTTTAAACAAATTTCGTCATACTTTTCTCAGGTACAGAATGGCTTCATATTTATTCTTCAGCTTGGCAGGAATGAGTTGTCACGTGTGAGCTCTTTTCAAATATATGTCAGACATCCACTTCTTATTTTCCGATACTTTGAATTACGGGTTAAGGTATGCTATCACGACAACGCATTCATTTCTGTATTGTTAAGCATTGACTACTAAGTATGTGATACAATCTTTTTTGTTTTTAAATAGCTGTTTTACCACCACTGTTTTCAAGCTTTGAAGAGGAAAATTTGAACAATACTTTACAACTGTTGGAATATTTTAAAACGGAAAAGCAATATGTATTGATGGGAGATTTCAATCAGTCCCCACCTCGGGCAAATATCACACCTTCATTTTCAGGTAGGTTTATGAGTCCTCACATATATTATATTTCAAATATTATGAATTACTCGACACAGATGATACAGCCTTTTGACATAACAGATTCGATGTGACATTGATAGAGTCAAGAGTTCGTTAATATTTTCACATATAAATGCATTTTAGGCAGATGTCCTAACTTACTGTGCATAACTGTTTGCCAAAGACTAACTTAGAATACGAACATATTAAAGTCAGGAAGGTCTTTCAGAGACCATTGATTAAGACGAAAAGATAAACGAAAGTGAAATACCTTTAAAGAACTTAATGCAGAAACCGTTTAAGGTGCAAACAGTGGCTCACTGAGAAGAATGATCGATTTTATATAGTATTGGACGAACGTATGGGAGATTACCATTTTTTGACAAAAGAAAGTCATGGTTGTTTTCTTTCGACCAAACAGCAAAAGCTAATACAGATTCTGAAACAGAAATAAAACCAAAAGAGCAAAAGAAAAGTGATCAAAACAAAAACAAATTCGTGACGACGTTCATTATGATTTCATCCATGAAAAATATTTATATGAATTGGTACACAAAAATACGATGTTTTAACTTATTTAACACAAGCTTATTCGGTTGTAGACAATTATAAAGAATTCATGGCAAATGGATTGTCTGACCCCTACGTTGATCATATCGGCCTACCAACTTTGGTTCCTGGTAATCTTTTCTCCAATTCCCAAAACAGAAATAAGATTCTGGATCACATCTTTCACAAAGGTTTCAATTTCCAGTCATCAGAGGTAATACGTATTTTTTTCTGTTAATACTTCGTTACACTGTCTTAATTTGTATTATGTTAATTCGAGTTAAGAAATAACAGTTTATTTAAAAAAACGAGCTTGTATATCTTTAATACAGATAGATTTGCCATCATTATAGAAAAAGGAGATGTAGTATGGTTACCAGAGAGACAACTATCCAACAGATACCAAAATACGTGGGTGTAAAAACTAATCAGCCTCAAGGCTTACATTTGGTACGACGGACGCGCGTTTCGTATGGAATAAAAACAGTTTGTAAACAACAATAGGTCACGTACGACCTTCAACAACGAGCAACACCCAAACCGTAAAGTAAACTAAAAAAGGCCCTGACATGACAAAATGTAAAACAATTCAAACGAGAGAAAAAAATATGACAGACATCAACCAATAGAAACTATGAATATAAATTTCACCTACAAATATGATATTCGGTTGTTCGTGATATTGTACTCGATCGTGTCTTAATGTACTGTTAATAATGTTGCTTTCATAAATCTACTCTGGAGGACAGTCACTTATATGAGAGTGTGGTACGGCGTGATTTCATATCAGCATGTCAAGTGCATGCTTTAAGTAACTGCGAGCATTGTTTGATACAGTGTTGTTTATTATTGTTTTGTTTATTTACCACAGGGGCCTCGTTGGCCGAGTAGATTAAGTAGTCGAACTACTGTATCACTAGCCTGTCAACATTGCGGTTGTGAGTTTGAATCCCGCACGTGGCAGGTGCGCTCGACTTCAATCTTAATTGACTAAGATTGTCAGTTTTCTTCTCGAAGATCGGTGGTTTTCTCAGGCCACTCCGTCTTCCTCCACCAATTAAAACTGACCGCCAAAAATACCACATAAGTGCTGATCGTGGCTTTTAAAACCATCTAATCAATCAATCAATCAATCAATCAATCAATTAATTATATTGCCATATATATTGTTATATAAAGACAAGTCAGGGTAGAGACGACAGCTTAAATGCTGTGTACAATACTTTTCAGATCAAGTGGTGTGATTTCTTATGTCAGCGTCCTTGCATCAGTTTTGAATAATATCGGAGATCGATTTGTTGATGGTTGTTTAATCAAATGTACTCTTTTTGATTCGTTTTTTCGTTTTGGGGAAATTTTATTTTAAGAGCTGTCCCGAAATGGCAGGAATTTTTATCCGGTCTCGGTTATAGTACAAGGCTTAGATTTTTTGTTAATATTTCGAATATTTGTCAGTGACAAATATTGAAACTTGTATCATACATTCCAAAATTCAAAAAATCATCTTTAAAATTCTCCATTCAATTGCTGCATGCATATTCCTGAAATTTGTTAAATACGTTAATATAAGGCCCAAAAAACCGAATATTTATGTATTGGACAGCTTTCGTTCTATCTTATTTTTTTATAGATTTTGTGTTTTAACAAATGAAGAAAGAGTAAAATTTTGTTAATTCTGTCTATAATAATTTGTAAAGTAGAAAGAACTAAAACTACGCAATTAAACCCAATAAATGAATGTTCAATGAATGTCCATTCCGAATTAGCACGAAATGAGACCCCAAGAATTATTTAATTGATTGGGGAATAAGTATATTTTATGCAAATGAAAATAATTATCAAATTATGTTTTATTATGTTTACATTGTATTATCATAACTACAAATAATTGCTAGTAATCAAAAACATGTTTGATAGTGTTTGTGTGTTTTGTTTTTTTGTTTGAGTTTTAAGAACGTTTTAAATGTCAACCGCTTTGTTTCTCTTGGTTTTGTGTCATTATGGCTGCTGTCTCATTGACATATTCCTCACATGTCCTTTTATTCATAATTTTTGCAATTTATTCTCAAACATTTGATATTATCTATGGAGTTCATGCGATTCCCTCAGTCTTTGTTTGTCACCTTGATATGTATTCTTAATTGCTTTATGAGATTTGAACATCGTCAAACTACTGTTGCCTTCCGGTTAATTTCTAATGGAATTATATACTTAGGCACATTTAATTAAGTAAATATCAAACACCAACATGTCGCATAACAAGATGATACAAACAGCATTAGTTCAATTAAATTGTCGATGAAATAAAAGAAGAGGAAATATATATAGACTAACTGGTTATGCTGGTTACTGATTTGATATAATGTTGATCATTTACAGAGAGTATTTGACAAATTCATAGATGTGAATGGACAGAGGATTCCTTTATCTGATCATTTTGGAGTAGCTGTAACGTTGCAACCGAAAAACTGCACAAGCGATTCTACTACAATACCATAATTTAAAATTATTGCAGGAACGAAATTTTCCCCTGAAGATAACACGAAGGACATTTTTCTTATCTCAATGTTTTTGTAGATAAAAACGAATAAATTAGATTGTTGTCAGGAGATTGTTTAATTAAAGGTAGATCAATTCTTGTATGTAGAGATGTGGGGTATACATCAGTGAGACATCAACCCAACTAAAGAAAAAAGAAAAAAATCAATCTACTATAGGTCATCTTACACTTAGACTCTTTAGTCATGTTTGTAAGGAAATATTCAAAAATGGTATAATTGTGATTTGTTTTTTAACAACAAATAAATATTTCATTTATTTATTTTTATTTATTCTTCAGATTGCCTGTTACAATTACATTTCACTGTCCAAGCTCCAATAATTACATTACATGTATGTTTTATTATAATACCTTATTTTGATTGGCTAAAAGCAATCTCGCTTCATTCTAAAATTAACCTTCATTTCAAAATGAAATGTAACATTCATGATGACACGAGCTTCCACAATAAAGTGCACAGGTAAATAATAGAAAAACTTGATAGCAATCGTGTTTTCATGATCTTAGCAAAAAATGTAATTATAAGTATTGAATGCCTCTTTTAGAAATTTTATAGGGTTGTAAAAGCGTTGACCGTGCGCACATTTTTAGAATGACAATCATACAAAATGTACTTCGGTCAACGCTTTTACACCTCAATAAATTTACAAAAAGAGGCATTCCATTCTTAAATAAAATATCCCTTTGAAATGCTTTCTGAGTATCCAGGAAAATACTCGGAATATAATAAAATATAAACATTTTTTTCCCTATTATATCAATCTTTTTAAATTTCTGAAAAATACATTTTCAGATACTGTTTTGATCTCATTCATAACTCTTCGTAATTCTTTTATAGACATATCTACACATCTAAGAACTTCAGTTTTTGCTCGGAAACACTATTGTTTTCAATGAAATAAAAACCATCATTTTTAGTAAGAAATATGTTTATGTTAGTGATATTATAACGATAATAAAAACCTGCCTGGAGGTTATAAAGGAAGTACCAAATAACTGTTCAAATCTTAACTTTCATATGAAGATTATCTCAACTTGGGTACATTAAACCATAGGAATCTGGTATACACAGGGGTGGTAAAGCTGTAAGTATTTTACTAAGACTTTCAGTGAACAGTTTTCTTCTATTACAAAATCTAGCATTACTGCTTATAAAGGAGTTGATTCACTAACTCATAATTTAGGCCCTAAAAACCTGATTTTTTTTTAACTGCGATGATGTTGTGAAAATTATATGAAAGCTTATGTTAAAATGTCCAATTGTTTCAGTTATAAATTATTTTTCATCAATTACGTCATAACTGATATATTTGTGACGTCATAAATGTAGGGAAATTTGTGAAGCCCTGATTTGTGGCATAATTTGGTGAAATTTATGTCCGTTTTCTGAAAAATTAACAGTGGTACCACCCCTCGCCCTCAAATATTTTTCGTTCCGAGGTTATCACCAGCCCAGTAGTCAGCACTTCGGTGTTGACATGAATATCAATTATGTGGTCATTTTTATAAATTTACTTTTAGCCAAAGTATGAATTATTCGAAATACTAAGGATGTTCTTATCCCAGGCATAGATTACCTTAGCCGTATTTGGCACAACTTTTTGGAATTTTGGTCCTCAATGCTCTTCAACTTTATACTTGTTTGGCTTTCTAACTATTTTGATCTGAGCGTCACTGATGAGTCTTATGTAGACGAAACGCGCGTCTGGCGTATCAAATTATAAGCCTGGTACCTTTGATAACTATTTGCTGAAATATTTTAAATATGTCATATTCTTTACTGTTCAATAAAAATTTCAATGGGCGAGGGGTGGCGCCACATATGAAATCATGAGATAAGGTCCAAAAACGATGATGAATTTCTAGACAAATGGACTAAAATGAAATCTATACCTATTTAAGGCTGATATATGTATAATCTATGAAGCAGTTATATACATTTTTTCCTCATTATACTTTCAAAAATAATACATTTAGCAATACATTCACAGTAAATTTACTCGAACAATTGAAGTTGTAAAAAAAACCCACCTTTACAGGGCCGTTTATTGGGGTTCCTGGCTCTACTAATTTGAAATAGAAATGGTGAGATATGAATATATACCAGCAGATCACATAGAAGTAAATCAGCTGTCGATGGTAAAATTCCTTCCTTTAGGATATATAGTCCCAAAATTATGATATAAGATGTTAAAAAAAATGCTTATATCCTTTTCAATAAAAAAATGCTTACATACTTTTCAATAAAAATTTCAATGGGCGAGGGGTGGCGCCACATATGAAATCATGAGATAAGGTCCAAAAAGATGATGAATTTCTAGACAAATGGACTAAAATGAAATCTATACCTATTCAAGGCTGATATATGTATAATCTATGAAGCAGATATATACATATTTTCCTTATTATACTTTCAAAAATAATACATTTAGCAATACATTCACAGTAAATTTACTCGAACAATTGAAGTTGTAAAAAATTAATTTCCAGGTGTACATTTTGTACGCATCCTAAAAAGCAAATTCAAATTCATTTGGATAATGTCTGCTGATGATCCATTTATTTATTAACAACTCCGTAGCTCACTGAGCAAATTTAACCATGCAAAACATGATAGTGAACTGGCATTAAAACTGTATCTGCCCAATCCTTATTTACTTAAGTTAGTTATATCAAACTCATGGAATATAATTATTGTATATACACATCTTAATCAATGTCTAAATCATATTGATATAATATACAGAGCTCTGCATCTTCCATTGTATCACTGTATTTATTAAATATAAACACTTCAGTGTTTTTCATCATTTTGCTTTGTGTAAAATTAAGATGTTGCGAATACACTTATGTTTGTGTCGGCCTTTGTACAACACTGCCTGTAGGGGCACCTTAATTGGCAATACAAAATGTTATGTTGTTTGGGTCATATGGTCTTCAGGACTTATTATTCTACCACAATAAACGAGTGTAAAACTCGTTTTGTCAAACATAAATTCACATCGAGACTAGAAAACGTGTGAATAAATAAGTAAGTTAGTAACTAGTTATTTATATAGTGACATGTGTATCATTACATAGATTTATACAAATATATACAAAGCAATTATGAATAACTGAGACTATAAAAAATCTGTCATCAACGTCATCAATGTAAAAAAAAAGCAATGTTGAAAAGCTTGACCTTTTGGTGTTAAGCATCTTTCCAGCTATCCTTATATATGTATATTGATTATACGTAAGAGTATCTCAATTTATGGAAAAGCTTCATAAATACCCAACAAAGCACTTCTTGATAGCTATTTTTGATAAAACAAGCAAATATATATGATATAAGCAATCTAGATACCAACGAATTTATTTCAACTCCATTTCAACTCTTTCTTATCAAATCAAACATTCGTATTCGTAGTGCCGAAGTCTTTCTTTCTTTCCGTACTAAAACTTTTCTTTTCCTATTTGGAATTTTCAGTAATGTGTCGTTTTGTCCTTCTCATGGAAAGTATTTCTATTGATCGGTTCGATATGCACGTGTTTGCGGTGAAGTCTTGGTTTTCAATGAACTTAATATTTTCATTACTAAAATGTTTTACAGCAGGGATATAGATATCATAAATTTGTTATCAAATTTACAAAATTTTATCACAAACATAGAAATTTATTTTTGAAGTATGATTCAACGTGACATTTGATAAAAAGGGATATTTTGCATCCCACTTTTAACGATTATTTGTTTATAAAGCTAACAAAATTATTAATTATCCTTCAAATCTGATTCCTTTGCTTTATTAATAGACTTGTTGGTAATATTTTAGTTACACTTGTAGCTGTTGTTAAACTTTTTTTATAGTTAGTTCTGGACATTACACAATATTATGTATTACTTTATGGTTCATGATGTTGCTGTATGAAATCTTCTATAAAGTACAGCAACCGATTTAAAATATAGGACGGCATAACTTTTATCAACAGGTTAAGTGGTTTGAGCTTGCTTTTAGTAACTGCGGGCATTCTTTTATACAGTACAATTTGTTTTTATTTTGAGTTTTGGTATCCATTTTACTGTTATTCTAGAGTAAAGTGCTTTTCTTGTTCCGGTTTTATGTAAAACTATGTTCTCTTTGGTACGTTTTGTTAATCTGCCTATCGAAATGAAAAAGAGGAAGGGTTGCGATTTACAAACAATAAAGTTTATGCCCACCACCTTTTTATGGACCTGACCCAAATCAGGAACATCGTCAGTAGCTGTCGTACGTTATATCTTATTTTTTCGTTTTTTTGAGAAATGGGAATTGCTGGCAGATCTTTGATTGTAATCGGTGAATATATTAACTAACTAGATCGATCTTGAATGGCATATTAATGTGTTTTTTTTTTGTCGTTGCGTTGCTGTCCCATTTATGTTTACCTGACAACTCCTTTTATTCATTAAGGATTCTTGCTATGTCATAACTGAAAAAATACATTCGATTTAAAGATATCGTGTTAATACCGACGATAATATGGACTTTCAGGATTTTCGAAATAAATATCTAAAGTGCGACTAACTGGCGTTTCTCAAATGCTTTGATGTTCTATTCGTTTCTGCAATCAAAGGCTATAATATCTCACATAAAGATTGATCACGAAGTTATTCTTAAATTTTACAAAATAAATATTCTAATATGATTCGTTATTTGATAGGTAAGATGCTGTTCATTCGATATTTTTTTTTATAATCAGTTTCATTGGTTAGTATAATTAACGATTGTATTTGAACTTTGAAATATTGATTTCCGAGTAAGTGACAAATTATGTTACGTATCTGTATATATATATGTGCAGATGATTGGATAAAGACATACACCAGTATATCGTAGAGAAACAAAAGGGTCGTTTGAACAAAAATGTCATATCCAGCGATATAATTATGAAACAGCATATAATGTATAATGTGTGTGTATAAATATCTTACAGTTTTATTTTACACCGTTAATTTGTGTTTACCAACTTCAACGACACTGATGGTGTGCCGTGTATACGCTAACTGTCAAAGTCTGAAATAATTTAGGTAAGATTAAAATTTATTTTGATTTATTTTAATACGCTAACATTGATGTCTGTCCTCGAAAA